CAATAATATCATCAGGATCTTTCCAAAAAAAAAAAAAAGAAAAAAAAGTTCATCCGGAAAGTTAACTGAAGTCATTGTCATCTCTGTTATATTGGCTGGCAACTACTATTCACCATCTTGATAAATTTCCAAACCAATCCTTTGAGGTGTTGCTCTGATCTATAAAATACCTCATAATAGATCCAGAATTTAATGCCTTTTTCATACTAATATGTAGTATAAATATAAGTAAAAGATTGAAATACATTTACAAGAGAATCATGACTGATGTATCATCACTAAGGAATCTCAACTAGAATACAAAAGAAAATATTACAAATAATATTTTAAGGACATAATCTTACACACGAGTGGTTTTCATAGGTCATTGATGCTGCAAACGAGGTAGTTGATAGCATAGACAGAGATGAGTTGGCCAAATATTTTGCACTGAAAAATGATCCTGAAGATGAAGACGTTGAGGTAAAAACACTCTTACTGCCATGGTTTTGATTCTTATAATTTGTTTGATTCTTGTAAAGCCGGAGTATGTAGGTTTTCTGTTGAGCTTCTTAAATTAATCGCCACTATCTTCTTTTCCCTCAATCACAGAAACTTAAGAAGAAGATGGAGGTTACCCGGGATCAATTGGCAGAGGCACTATACCAAAATGGGCTTGCGTTGGCAGAATTGGAGTCTTTAAAGGTTTGAAATTTTGGTTACACAAGGTTCTTTTCATTATATCTTTGATTTGGAAACATGATCATTACATATGTTCTTCTTTTAGAATGAAAATTTAACTCAACCATTTGTATAAAACCATGGCTGGATTAGATATTTTATGAAATGGACAATAAAACAATTCTATTTGTGACAGACCAAGGTTGAGAATGCTTCGACACTTGCTCCAAAAGACGCAATAGATGCTGGGAAATCTGAGGATTCTTTTGAAGAGAATTTCAAAGAACTGAAGAAATGGGTAGATGTCAAGACCTCTAAGTTCGGAACTCTTGCAGTGTTGCGCGAAAAACGCCGTGGAAGGCTAGGTGCAGCTCTGAAGGTATTTCCTTTAGCTATTTTCCAGTTTCTATTTTTTATTTTGGTTACTTCACATTCGGCTTTCCCTTTCGGGCTCCCCCTTAAGGTTTTTAAAATACGTCTGCTAGAGAGAGATTTTCAATGCTTTGTCCTCCCCAACCGATGTGGGTTCTCACTTAATTTCGGGCTCCCCTTAAGGTTTTTAAAATACGTCTGCTAGAGAGAGATTTTCAATGCTTTGTCCTCCTCCCCAACCGATGTGGGTTCTCACTTAATATCTGCCTAAACGAGGACTCAACTATCTCTTATTTGGCTTTTGATCTTACTGAACTTTCACTCCTGTAAAAGCATGGTTTTACTACCCTCAATCATTTATGTTGAACTTCTCTCCGATTCAGACATGGTAGATACTTTCGTTCTAGCTTTGAGAAATTTATATTTATCTCTTTATTTTAACTCGGTTTGAAAATTTTTATATGGTATTGTATCATTCCACATTGGCAAATCCAAGGATTATTCCGGCCAAAGTACATTGAAAATTCTGTCCTTTCCATCAAACGCTTCAATAATTTCACATTGTACAGACAATTTGTGTGACAATTGTGTGGACAGTTAGTTTTTTTTGAGATCCCACATCGGTTAATGAACGAGTGCCAGTGAGGATGTTGGACCTCAAAAGAGGGTGGATTGTGAGATCCTACATCGGTTGGAAAAGGGAACGAAACCTTCTTTATAAGGGTGTGAAAATCTCTTCCTAACAGACGTGTTTTAAAATCTTTGAGGAAAAGCTTGAGAGAGGAAGCCCAAAGATGACAATATCTGCTAGTAGTGGGCTTAGGCTGTTACAAATGGTATCAGAGATAGACCCCGAAAGGAGGTGGACACCAGGTGGTGTGCCAATAAAGACACTGGGCTCCGAAGGAGAGTGGATTATGAGATCCCACATCGATTAGAGAGAGGATGTGTAAACCTCTCCTTAACAGATGCGTTTTAAAAACCTCGAGGGAAAGACCAAAAAGAAAACCCAAATAAGACAATATCTGCTAGCAGTGGGCTTGGGTTGTTACAGTGTCGTGTTAATTTGTTTTCACTATTTACTCACGATTCAGCTGAGATGGTCGAGTCTCTCTCTCTCGGTCATGTTTTCCCCTTCTGACGAATAGGCTTCTTGAATTTCTAGTGATGTTAAATTTATTTATCTTGCTACCACAGGTAGTTAATGATGTTATTGAAAACGACGGAGATACTCCGAAGAAGAAACTCTACGAACTGAAGCTGTCTTTGCTGGAGGAGATTGGTTGGTCTCATTTGGTATCATATGAAAAGCAATGGATGCATGTACGCTTTCCCACAACCCTGCCTCTATTTTAAAAGTTTTCATCACCCAAATAAATTTATGGTATTTGATACCTCTTTTCTTCTATTGCTCTGCTGCTTGGGATGGGAAACTCTACAATAAGAATAAACTTTCTCAGGGCTTTTTTTTTTTTTTAACAAGTTTATGGTGGGGCCCCTTCTGTGAACAACAAATGGCATAAATATCCATTTTGAATATTCTTCATAAAATGGCATAAATGTTATATAAGATGTGTATCATAAATACCATCATGTAATCAAATTGGATATTAAATTTGGCATAAGTTAATTCTCTCTTAGTTATTCATTCATTTATTAGGGTGTGTTGGGTTATTTTATGCATCCATTTAGGTTGGGTTGAATTTTTTAAAAACCAAAAATTTGGTTCGATTTGTGGATTGACAATTTTTTTTGCCCGACCATTTCAAGAATAGGGTTATAATATTAACTCCATCCTACTTTTAAAAGATTAATAACATTCAATGTTTATAATCGATATTGATATTAATAATGCATTGTAATTTATAAATGTTTGATATTTGAATTTCATACCAATTTAGTTATTAGTATAATATATGCAAATAGGAGAGATATAATTAGGTATTATTATGTCAATGGTGAGTGTATTCATTATAATAGAATAGAATGAAATTCAATTAGATATTAAAAATAAGAAAAGTACACGGAGAATAGGTAACAAGGAATTTTAGAAGGGATTATTTATCTTTCTAGTCTTCGATACCAGAAAAATTCCTTTTTGTTGTTCTTGTTTCGAAACAATAAAATAATTAATAGACGGGAATCCGACTTTTTTTTTTTTTTTTTTTTTGTTCTTGTGTTGAAATAATAAAATAATTAATAGACGGGACTCGACGGAGTTGAAATATTTAAGCCACAAAGCCGCCGCCCAATTTTGGCTAATGGAAATCCAGTCACTAGAACTTTCAAAATGACGAAAAAGTCCATTCAAATGCAAACAATTAATTAATTAAATAATTAACAGAACTAATATATAATAATATGTTCTTCCACTTTCCCATTATTCGTTATTATTAAATATTATTCAAATTATTAAAAAAAAACAAATAATAAGAGGAAAACTACTACGGCGGAAGATTATAATAAGCCGAGGTTTGGCTTTAAATACTGATTCTCCTCTCCACGTTTATGTGTTCTATTATTTATTTTTATAAAACAGAATAACATTCCTAAACTCAATATAATATTATTATTATTAAATAAATAACTTGAAAAACTATTAGTTATACATCAGAACCGTTGCCTTTTAAAAAATAAGTAAAAGCCAATATTTTTAAACAAAACCATTAAATGATGCTTAGGGTATCTTTTAAAAAATGTTTGGAAAGACATTTCTTTAAAACAAACCAAACCAACACTACTAAATCACGGTCCGTTCACAGTCTCCTTGATTCCCGTAAACGATAAAGTGGAAATAGCTAACACATAGTACGCTGGAGTCATCTTATAACCTATTCTTTTTAACTTTACACGTCACTCTTGCACCACGACCTTGCCTTTATCGGGGCTAGACATGCATACATGCAATCTATAAGTAAAATGAAGGGAGCAAATTTCTTTTCAAAATGGGGTCGCTCATTCATGACCCACCACCATCTAGCTAGCAGCCAACACTAACCACTCAACTCGTTCGTTAATGATTAATTTTTTTTTTTTAAAAAAAAAAGTGGGCCATCTATAATGATCAAACTATACTATGATTGTATTTATGGTGCTGGTGATTAATTATCTAATCATATAACGTATAGTTTAACAAGACCGTTGTGATAAAAAATTTATATCATGCTTCACATCAGTCTCTAACAGAGCCACAAGGGACTATTTAAATTGAACTTGAAATCGTGTTGTACCAATATACTCGTACATTTCTTAAGTTACACCATTAATTTATTAAAATAAAAATAAAATTAAGGATTATATTTAAAGTTGAGGACTAAAATAAATTAGAGACAAAAATAAAATAAATTTAAAATAAGATTCACACTAATTATTTTTAACTCAAATTTATATGTGCTACAAAAATCCACAATTTCGATCTCAATTACATCCAACCTTCATCTCGTCTCACTATATAAAGCGTTATATTATTAATATTTGATTTTTTTTTATAGAAAAATGAGAACAATCTCGGTGAGGAGTGAATGCTTGCAAATTTTATGTAAAGAATTCTCGCTCCAATCTCTATAAAAACAAGTTAAAGTTTTCATAAAAATAAAAAAATGAAATAAGCGATCGAGATAGAAACGAAAAGAATTTTGTCCTTGCCTCGTGGTCTTTCTTGACCCTATAATTATACAACTTGGTGCGGCGCTTAGGCTTCCAAGGGTAAAACCGTCAATTCCTAATTTATTATGGGATAAATTATTCTTCTTTTAGGATATGGAAATTGACATGATTGCTCATTTGTCAAGGGTGGAATGTAGGAATATCAATAACAAATTTAAAACTACATCGACGAATCACTTCCTAATTTGTTAACCCGTCACATCATTGATTGCTGACTCGTTATTAACCTTTCGTCTTTGTTAAATTGTAAATTTGGTTCTTAAATTTTTAAATTTATCAAAGGAAAAAAAAATCCTAAAAACTTTAAATTTTACCAATCATTCAATTTTTTAAAAAATTAATTAATATATTAAATATAAAATTGAATTAATATTACTAGATCATGACAAAAATAATGATAATAATAATAACCTTAAATTTAAAATTTTCATTAATATTCTTAATTTTAAAAAAAATTGAAAAAATATTATTAAATTTTTTAAAAATTTCAAAAATACATTTAAATTAAAAGATATATTAAATATTTTTTTAGACAAAAATTTAGTTTTTTCTTCTTTTTTTATTTTTAATTTTGCCAAGAAAGTAATTTCAAAAGAATGGCCAAGGCACCGTCTCAATTCCATCATCATGACGACCCAACCATATACCGCCACGTGGAAGAATATTATAAGACGCCCGTATCGCCCCGCTGTCACCATTTTTATATAACTGCCAAAAGCTCCTTTCTTCTTCATTATCACTTTTTTTTTTCCCTCTCCCAATTTCTTCATATCTTATCTCTGCAACAAAATGGTGGTTCCAACTCTTACCGGTTTGTTGAAAGGCGCCGCCGCCGATTTCCCTGACCGGCGAGCATTATCCGTTTCCGGACACTTCGATCTCTCCCACGCTCACCTCCAACGCCTCGTAGATTCCGCCGCCTTAAAGCTCGCCGCCGGCGGTGTCAAACCCGGCGATGTCGTTGCCCTAGTTTTCCCAAACACCGTCGAGGTATTAATTTCAGATTTAATTTACCGGAATCCGTCGGTAACGTTCATTTATTCATTTTATTACTTGATTGTGCAGTTTGTGATTATGTTTTTGGCCGTGATTCGAGCACGAGCCACGGCGGCGCCGCTGAACGCCGCGTATACGGCGGAGGAGTTTGAGTTTTACTTATCGGACTCCGATTCGAAACTTTTGGTAACCTCAATCGAAGGTAACGGCCCCGCCGAAACGGCGGCGTCTAAGCTCAAGATTCAACACGTGACCGCTGCGCTCCCCGATGCAAGCGCCGAGTTGATTCTCTCCTTGACTCAGTCTAACTCGAACGGCTCGGTGTCTGACTCAGTTGGCGAAATCGTCAACGACGGATCCGACGTGGCGTTGTTCCTCCACACGTCAGGCACCACGAGCCGCCCCAAAGGCGTGCCGTTAACTCAGTTTAATCTCGCCTCTTCCGTTAACAACATTAAATCGGTTTACAAACTCACCGAGTCCGACTCGACCGTCATAGTCCTCCCTTTGTTCCACGTCCACGGTTTAATGGCCGGTTTACTCAGCTCCCTCGCCGCCGGAGCCGCCGTAACTTTACCGGCTGCTGGGAGATTCTCGGCGTCGGCGTTCTGGCCGGACATGGTCCAATACAACGCCACCTGGTACACCGCCGTCCCTACAATCCACCAAATCATACTAGACCGGCACACGACAAAACCGGAAGCAGTTTACCCGAACCTCCGGTTCATTAGGAGCTGCAGTGCATCGTTGGCTCCTACTATCTTGAACCGGTTGGAAGAGGCGTTTGGGGCGCCGGTTCTGGAGGCGTACGCGATGACGGAGGCGTCACATCTGATGTCGTCGAACCCGTTGCCAGAAAACGGTCCACACAAGGCCGGGTCAGTAGGAAAACCGGTGGGTCAAGAAATGGCGATACTGGATGAAAACGGCGTCGTTCAGGAGGCGAATATGAAAGGCGAAGTTTGTTTAAAGGGTCCAAATGTAACGAACGGTTATAAAGGCAACCCGGTAGCGAACGAGGAAGCGTTCCGGTACGGGTGGTTCCACACTGGCGATATTGGGTTCTTCGATTCCGATGGGTATTTGCATCTCGTCGGTCGGATCAAGGAGTTGATCAACCGTGGAGGTAAAAACACGTGGCCATGCCATCTAAATTTACAAATTTTTATTTACTTTAATCTTTTTTTTTTTTTTTTCCCATTTCAGCTTTCAAAATATTCTCTTTTCATTATTAAATTATTTCAATTAATTTTATTTTTTATTTTTAAAAATTATCATAAATTAGGGGAAAAGATATCGCCAATTGAAGTGGACGCGGTGTTGTTGGCTCATCCGGACGTGGCTCAGGCTGTCTCATTTGGAGTTCCGGACCCCAAGTATGGGGAGGAGGTAATTCTTTATTTATTTATTTATTTATTTATTATTATTATTATTATTAATTATTTATTAAAAATTTGCAATTTGAGGGACAAAACACCACGTAAATATGTGATATTTGAAGTAGTTTTGAAATATTTATGAAATGATATACGATATTTTTTATAAAAATATTAATTTCGAAACTTTTAAAAGCATTTTAATTCCTGCAAATATGTTGTTTTCTGATATTTTGAAATATATTTATGATATGTTTACTTAATTATAGTTTCATAAAATGCTGCTATTTTATTTTATTTTATTTTATTTGAAATATAATATAAATTTGACTTTTTAAAGTGTATTCTTCTTGAAAAGCTGATTTAAATGGAATAATTTAAAGAAAAATTCTGACTCTCTGCCATACCAAAAATTAAAAAAAATAATAATAATAAATTAATTAATTAAATTTTAGGTGTGGGATGAAAATTCCCGTTGGATGAAAATTCCCGGTTATATCATGAGTTTATAATCAAATAATACTCCCTCTATTGAGATGAGGCTTTTTGGCCTTCAAAGAATATGCTCAAAGTCGACAATTTCA